AAAGTTGATTTAGAGGACGGAGCGGCGAAACTTAGCCCACCGGTGAGTATTGCTGGTACAGGATGATTACTGATACGAATATGCGTGATCCGTCGCTTTGGGGCTGAGTTGTCGGCTATATAAGCATGAACTCATCCAGCTTTCGTTTTCTGTGGAATATCACCAAGGGTTTACAATGCTCCTAGTCGGTAAGAGAAGCATCCATTACCAGCGTCAATACACAGGGAGTGAGCCCTGGTCAACTCTCCTATAATATATATGCATGATTCTTTTACCCTTTTAGGTCGTACAAGCCTTTTGTTATAATCTGTCATGATGGCTATGACGGCAACACGTTTGATGCATTTGCGCGTTCATTCATTCGACTTGATCTTGTCTTGTTTCTCATCTTGAGCTGCATACTGCCAGGACGAGCGCGTAATGACGCATTGCTCAGGGCGGTCACACGTACTTTGAACGTTGTGCATATGACTACATAAATCAACAGTTAGGGGCTGAGGTTACCAAATCTGGGAAACTTCGACATATTTTGTTCCCAAAATCGGTCACTCTAGTGTCTTCACGTGTCTTTTAAACCGTTCTCGACAATTGCATTTAATTCTTCTTATTAGGCCTTTTGGATCTTGCGTTAAGGGCATTGCTTCGTCGAATGGCTCATCTCAACGATGCTTCCCTTTTGCGATGAGAATGGTCGCAAAACAGTCTATCTCTCCTGACCAAAGTTCTCCAAGGTAGGGGACCTAGCTGATGCATCTATGCTCGTCTGTTGATTCCCCATCGCCTTCGTCACTGCGCCTTGACCTTGTAACTACGAGATGAGAGGATGTATTCAACTCATTTGAAATAGCATAGGTAAGCCTCAATGATATAAATCAATCCAAGTTGTGAATAAAACTTCCCAAAATCTATCGTTCTTTCCTATTTTTATTTGGCATTCGAAGTGGAGGAATGATCACAGGCTAGCAGCATTTCGACTGATTTGTTAATCAAGCGACAAAAGCAACCCGTTTAGCACTTAAATTCAATTACTTATTCCATATAATGGTAAATGGGGATCAAGGATTATAGTGCAAGGAGCTGGTCAAGGCTAAGGTACCCAGTCCTCTTCTAACTCGTCGTCACTCTTCCCCGCTCGCATATTGCCGAGTCCGACCGCATCGCAACCAATGTTGCCAGTCTTGATACGAGCACATAGAGTTTGAATGTTGAGAGAAATCAATTAAAAGTTCTTTTATGATGCACTTTAATATCCACTCGTATCAAACCTGCCAGCTACCTTAGGCTTCTACGGCGATCCCATTGTTATCTCATGGCCTGGAGCACGTAAGTTCAACATGCCCAGTTTAACGTTTTTTCGAACGAGACTAAACACCGACGGACTTTGCATTAACGATACGACTACATGAACCCGAGAGCGACGATTTCGGGGTTATATCAAGCCACGTTGCGCCGTGTGGTAGCTGATTTCTAGACATATCCTGAAATTCCTCCATAGAAATAAGCCGCATCACCAGTCCTACCTCACTTTGCCTTCAAGATCTAAGTCTTCACAGAATCACTACCAGCATCAGTAAGTAGTCAATACCACGTCAATTCCTATCCCATCTAATACACTCAGTGCATCTCGCAGCCGTAGCCACTCTTTTTGCGCTCGCCAGTGTGGCGATGGCTGGCAACCCTCGATACAAAGTCAGTTGTGATCCAGCCGTACCAGCTGCCTACCAGGCTAGCATGAAGGCATTTGAGAAGAAAAACTGTGGAGAGTCCGAGTATTTTGGGCGTCCAGGCACTTGGCATGAAGAGACACAGTCGTGCGAAGCCCCCGGCCCCGGGGGCACGAATACCCAAAGATACTACCATCCGCTCTTTGCTAGCTCTTCAGGTGGTCCCAACATCAGCCCGCGTTGCCACTGGGTTCCAGCTTAGGTTTCTTGGGGGAACACCCATACCACGTACGCCTGATTATTAGCCTCACTCATTCCTAGCACGGTCGATGACTGGCACAGCTTCAAGCTCAGCTTGTCAACACTCAGTCAAGAAGGACAATTAAGCCGCAGCCCGAGAGAAAGCACTGGGATCAGATCAAACATTGATCTGCCGGAGATGCGGCGTGGTTGAAGAACAACCCTAGGCTAGAAACCAATCTAAATCACCTCATATGTGAATCTTTCTCTGTGTATTACTTGCCTGCGAGATCAAAGAGATCTTGGCCGCCTCCTGGATAGCTTGACAATTCTGTGCCCACTAAAATCTGTCTTGACTGGCTTAGAAAAATGCGGAACGCCTGATGGCGAAGCGCTGGATTTATTTCCAATAATCTCTTTGAGATAATATAGTCGTCCTCGAAAAGTAGAAATGATGCAAAGCGAACGGTTGATCTCCCCGAGGGCCAATAACAATCGAGCGCCAAACCTCTCAAAAGGAACCGAGCGGGAAGGTCTATTCTGGTTGGTGCCTGCCACAGTATTAACTCCTCCAGCCACAACTCAATCTGGCGCACGCAACATCATCAGAACAACCACCGGCAATCCGAGGTTTACTCATTTGATGGCGGGAAGAAACCCATAAATAAAGCATCATGCCTGGCACAAACTCGTCGACGCCCTCCCTTGGGTTCGTCGATTTACCGGTGGAAATTCAAACCCACATCTTCGAGGCTCTCGCCTCCTCACACCCCGCATCGATCTACGCAGTGCTTCCAACATGCAAACATCTCTACAAAATCGCTCTATCTCTCTCAGTCCGAACCTATGAGAGCGCCGCCGGCCCAAAGAACACAAGCCAATACGCGCAGAAGCGCAGCCGCAACCTCGACTTCCTGCGTTACATCACCATCACCAAGCCCGAGCTTGCACAACATGTCCGCCGCATTACCATCAAACATGTCTCCACCAGCCTCATCTACCGCACTGCCCCATCGAGCAAGAAACCATTAGGTCCCGAAAGCGATGAGATTGGCGTGTACACCAACATGATTGATGCATCGGGTCTCTCCGATCACGTTGAAGACTGGGAGGCTGTGCGACACGAGTGGCTTCGAGGCCTCGCCGACGGCTTAGTCGAGCAGCAGATTGGCCTCATGTTTCTCGCATGCCCGAAGATCCAGGTCCTCGAATTGGGAACGCCTCTCGCGCCTCGTTTGCTTCCTCGCTTGATCAAGGCTGCGGCATTGCACGGGGGGAGCATGAAGGCCCCATTACTCCATCACTTGCGAGAGTACTGCGGCGAGCCAGAGATGCCCAAGAGTCTTTTCCACTTCTTCAACATTGGGAAGGAATTCCTGCAACTACCTCAGTTACGGACATTCATGTGCGCGAGTTTATCGAGCAGTGGCCCAAACGGGCACCTCTTCGACGAGAACGCCAATCCGCCCAGGTCTTCAAACGTTCAAAATCTTACTCTGCTAGATGCAAACATTACCCAGGAGGGCCTAAGCACAGTCATCCGTGCTTGCAGAGAGTTGAAGTCGTTTCGCTGGACCCCAGGTGACAGCAGTTTCCTAGATATGCAGATAAAGCCGCAAGATCTAGCCCAGGCTCTGTCACCGCATCGAGATACTCTCGAATGTTTGCATATCGACTATCAAGGCCAGTGGCGCAATCAAGAATGGTACGTCGAACTAGAGGGCTTCTTTATCGGTACGTTCCTGCGGGAGATGGTCTCGTTGAAGACACTGCACATCGGCATGGAGGCTTTTACTGGTTTCACCGATCTTTGGACAATCTCAAGCCTTTACAACAACTTCAATCAAGAGGAGAAGGTGTCGGAATTGAAGAGAGTTCCGCGACTCGTCAATCATATACCTCCTAATCTGGAGAGCCTCGAGCTGTACGGGTGCACCATGGAGATACTGACTCATATCCGTGAACTTATGGACCTGCATCAGACTGGAGAAGGATGTGCGAGCTTGCGGAAAATTCAGCTACGCTTCAATGCAGACTTGGTTGATCCAAGTAAAGTTCGCATGATATGTGATGCAAATTCGAGCCTCTTAGACTTGGAGTTCATATATGACCAGCCGCTCAGTTGAGGAGGGTTGAAGACTTCAGTCATAGGTGCATACGTAGAGATCAACTTATTGAATCAAACGACAACAATTGATCAACTAATGTCGAAAGGCGCTTGGTCCGATTGTCGAGCCCCTTGCCATGTGAAAAAGTCGTTAACAGGTGCCAAAAATAGAATCAAATGGATATGAGCTTCTCTATCCTTACATTATCATGATCATGAAAGTTGTTGTCGCTAAAGAAACCTTGGCATCATTCTTTTGAGGGGATTCCAAGTCTTGCAGCTTGCCATATGCAAGGTCTTTTTGTCAGCAGGGGTTCTCCCACACCCCTCTTCTTCAACGCTCCATCATGTCTGCATGGGGATCACGAGACACATCCTATCAACACAATTCGTCAGCAGCTTATCTGAGAATACTGAAAGGTGGGATCTGATCCCAGCCTACTTCCCGATCGATCCGTTTTTGGCGGCTTCCCGTGCGTAGATCCCGCTCTCCTAATGCCCTCGAGGGCCACGACGACAAGGGTATAGCTATTGGTGGGTATGAAAGTCAGGCTGTGATATTGGACGTATTACCTCGATGCAGCCATCTTCCGGATAAAGCCGGTCAGGTGGCAGATAGATGCTCGTCAATGTTGCAACTTCCCTATCGAGGCATCATCGGCAAATGCGGCTACAACAAACATATGAGATAGTACATATAAGTCTGTCATATTCCTTCGGGCCTTCGCTTCGTCTGGAACTAGAAACCTACTCTCATCTCACGCTCCCTCCATTCTGTTGATCAACTTTGACATCATTGTCATTGATGGTCAATCTCTACCTCATGATAATTACAAAGCCATAATCAACCCACGACGCTACTATCCAGCACACTCATAAACCAAGGGTTAGTAAGGCTGTATCTAGTACCTTCTGTTCTTCAATGACTCAAGCTAACACGACCCATAGGTCTACAAATATAGCGCGCTACACACGAATTAAAGACCATCATGTCCGCCTGTCTACGATGCAATATCGCGCCTGCCTTACCCGGCCATCGCTTCTGCAGCCCTTGCGGCAGGATAATACACGCCGGCAGCCTGCAGCGTTCGGGACTTTGTATGCGCGGCTGTGGCCGGACCGCGAAGCAAGGTCACCGATTCTGTGTTCCTTGTGGTAGGTCGTACTACCGTTAGTCGATATTGAAAGGCTTATGTGTATTACTGCCTCTGCTATGAATGAAAGCTGCTGTGGAGTATGCCATGGCTTGACCATATGTTATCACAATCAGAAAGCGTGCATCGGTTTAGAGTGCTTCAAGATCAAGACCCAAATGTTCTCAACCTTAAGCTTGCTGAGGAGAACCTTCGTCGCTTGTAGTCTCGATGGTAAGTCACTGGCGCTAGTATCTAAGGTAGTAATTCTTTCCAAAGGCTTTGTTCAAAGAATTCGACCGGATTCAATCCGGTGCCAAGTTGGCGGCCTTCTGGCTGACAAGCGGACCTGGACATGGCCCTGATATCAGTGAGTTACGGGACACCGTGACAAACCACCATCTATCCAGGGTCGATTCGGGGTTTGTAGGACAAAAGCCAACGTCGTAACCTCAAGAGCAATGCCCCAACCTCAACCTCAACTCTGAACCAAAAGAAAGACGATTTAATGCCATCTTTGAGTGATTTGCAAAACAAGAGAGGTCCATCCAGGATTCGAACCTGGGCCTACGGAAATTCCGATAATCAGAATCCGACGTCCTAACCAACTAGACTAATAGACCGGTGATAACCGGCGCTAATATCTTGCGCTGGTCGAGCGTGGTCGAAGCAAACTTGAGAACCTTGCAGGTGGACGAAGTCATCCAAGGCGCAGTGTTTGCTGGGCTGCTGCAGACTACTTTTGGCATCGTCAGTTGAGTTTGGGCATTGCCCTACTCAGTGCGCTTCACTGAATGTGCCCAGAACTTTATTGTTGGGGCAAATGAGGAGAATTTGGAGAGTCGCGCATTGATGGGGCAGAGCGGCTGTCAGAGAGACAGCGATACTGTCGGAGTCTGTCGCGTGCTGGCATCCTCAGCTCAGGGCTTAGCACAACAGTAGGCGGAGCTCCTGGTCGCAACTTACAACGTGCAACACTCGGCGATGTCGAGATTGTTTCGGCCCCGAAGTTCTCATAAATCAAACGCATCGTCTGAGCTTGGTATGCACAGATGCACACGTTTGTTTGCCAATCCGTAGATGCAGGGACTGGTGCCAGCCCATGTTCGTCACTGACCCCAAGGGTTTGAAAATAAGTGCACGCTCAGACGAGCCATGTGCTCCGTTTTAAAACGCAGCTGATAGATGAACGGCCTTTGTTTCATCGGATGTCAAGATCGGACGTCGCCAGGGTGCTTGACAGCAACAACGACTCATTGACTTCTGGTCGTCTGTGACCCAAGTACTTGCTGATACCTATTCTTCTGGAGATCCATGATTATCGATGTTCCTGAATCCGGTCACTTGGATGACGTTCTTGAGGCAGCTGCATGAAAGCTGTCTTCCTCAGCCGAATCCTACTTTGGAGCCATCCTCGTAGCACGGTCCATAGGTTGTCCAGTGACTGTAATCTGTTATGCCGACGACGGCGATGACGACGCTGACGAGGTAATCTGCTGCCGGAAGCTGGATAATCGGCTCAAGGATCGGGAGACGGGGGCGGGGCTCCGGACATCGCTTCGCATCGAGTTAATGGGAGGAGGAATCGCTGTCCGGGTTCCTCAGGAGAAGGTCCCCTATTTCGTACCCATGGAACCCATGAATTTGTCGTCTTTTGACCGTAGCCCACATGGCTGCGTTCCCACTCGAACAGCAACGTCATGTTGTGCCGGTGGGGAGAGCCACGAGTCGAGGTTGCCGTTGACTCTTGGGGCAAAGGAAATCTGAGGGAGAGCAATCTCTTGTGAATCGGCCAGTGTTGGAGGATGCTCTAACGGCTCCAGGACGACTGTAACCTGGCTCAGGGTATGTTTGCTGTGCTGCAGGTCATTGATCGTGCAGCGCAATTGGGGTTCAAATGCCGAGGACGCAGCGGCAGCCTGCGTTGCGCATACGAACTGCAGGCTGCTGCATGTGGCCGTTGAGACGAGGAGTCCGAGACATGTTACGAGGTGTAGACTACACAGAAGCAAAGATAGGATGGTCTTGAGTTTGGCCAGTGTCTCTGCATGATATTCCAACTTCGCGTACCACAGCCGACGCTGCAACTAGCGAGCGCGCAGCTTACCGCAGTAGAGGACGGGACAGTAGGTCAGAGGGAGACTGATGGCCCAAGACCAATACAGGAACGTGTGGTGTCCGCAAAGCGCCGGCGCTGCGACGCGATCCTCGACCCACCGAAAAAAACGTTGGAAGCCGTTGTCTAAGTATATCGCAACGTCTCATTCTTGTGCTTGGTGGCGTGCAACAGCAGTTGTGAATTTTCTTCTTTTCGCCCCCCCCCTTTCGGTCCGTTGAAGGACAAGACCAACCGGTAAAAAGCTCTGCCAAGAGGCGTTTGCTAAGTTGAAGAGGTCGAGATCGGGCCAGGCTGCCACGGAGAAGGCGGAATGAATGGGCAACCGTTTACGGTTTGGGGCGTTTAGAGAAGAGATCATTCCCCAGTAACCGGGCTCGCTTGAGTGTCCCTAGCTTGGCTTAAGGTAGTCCACCAGCAGAGGCGGCGCGGTTACCGCGAGTTGCCAGCTGCAATGTGTAGGACTCACAGCAGACTCCAGAGCATTTTCTGTATCCATAAACCTCGCCTTCTCACCAGTAGCTGCGGTGGCAGCCGTGGGTCTCGACAGGCCTTGTGAGCAGCCTAGACGATTGAATCCAGCAGGACTTGATCAAACGGTTTGCTCGCAGGTCCCTAACGAGTAGTGTATGTAAGCGCCCGGAACCTCCTCTCAAGGACCGCACAAAGTTGAGTTTCACATTGTGGCAGCGAAACACCGGGAAGCAACTTGTACGGGGTAGTGGCCGGTCGTTGTGCGTCTGAATGAGCAGTTTCCGCAGACACTGGTGACGGGTTGGTGGCACGAAAGAGGAGTCACGATGGCCCTGTTGCGACGAGGGCCTGTTGAAGGGCCTTGCAGTTTGTGCCCAAGTCGCGACGAATAGGGGCAACGAGGAGGGGGGCATGCGACGACTTGCGAGGTGACGAGGTTCTAATTAGTGCGACCGATGCGCGAAGTGGGCAAGCTCGGGCCGTCCAGAGTCAAGACTCCCATGTCAAGCAACGTGAGGACCTAGGCGATGCTCATGATCCATTATTCATGGCCGGCCGCTGGTCCCTGGCGAGAAGGGAGTCTCCCTCTTGAGAAGTTCACAGCAATGTTGGCCCACCAAAATCATTGATCTCCAGCGTGATCTCCAGAAGTTCAGGTTGGTCCATGTTGGTGGACATGACCCTGGGGAGGATTTCGGGTTTCATCCGAGGACTTGCGGTTGCAGCTGCAGCCCCCGAGTTTGATTGTCGTTGAAGTGCGAGTTTGGACGGAGAGACAAAGATGGGACTGAGACACATGAGACGATTTTGTCCGGGTTGTGTTGCTGCTGGTCACTGTCGATGGCCGGCCCCGTTCAAACTTGACGATGGATGGGCTGCGAGCTGCGAATTGGCATCCGAATTGATCATGCTGCCCGGACGAAGAATATCCGTACGGAGAGGCTACAGCGGCGTAGGTCAGTAAAATTAAGAATGAGGAAATCGACACTAGAAGAGGCTTCTCCGCAAGTGATCTGAACGGGGAATAGGGATGAAGGATGATGACATTTCCCGGGCGATGAGCAACCGCGACTTGCACTTCCATGTTGCGACTGCACAGACCGTCGGACGAACGTTCTGGGAAGGAAGGAGAGAATCCTAAGATTTGACACTCGTTTTTTGGGAAGGAACGGGGGGAGGCAACAGGGTGAGTCCTTGCTGGCTGCCCCTACTGGAAGCGACTTTCTCAGTGACCTCCCTCCGTCTTTCCCAATTGCTCAGTTCCCTCCAAATTCCATAATACCGCACTGACGGCAAACTCTTCTTTCTTTCCCGTCCCTCTCTAACGCTCCACCCCACTCATGAGCCAACCAACCAACTGGCTGCAGGCACTCAGGCACCCCCGGCCAGTCAGAGCGCACGAGACACTCTGAGCTGATCATCCAAGGCTTAGCGTCAGGAACCATTTTCTCAGTGAAATGCAGGAACAAGTTGGCCAGCCGCGAAACGGAAGGACAAGAAGCCTTAGGTCTCACCAGCTGGGTCCCGCTTCCACCGCACCTTAAACCAATCACCAGGTGCTGGTGGCTCGGGGAAATTGTGCAATTCAATCTTTTATGAAAAGCCCACTCACATCGTCGCTGTATCGGGAATGGACGATTCGCGCTCTTCTTTCCTCGTGTGCCACCCATTTCGTCCATTTCGCGGCAATTTGTGTCGCATTGGCGAGGGGATCCAAATGACGAGGTGCAAATTATGCCATTTAACTCTTCAATAATGCTGCCGCTATTCGCCCTGTTAGAGAGCATTGTACGAACAATCACCGCCTACTAAGCCCGTTTGCGGCTGGTAACAATGCCTTTCTCTCCTTCCTTCTGTCAACCCTGGCCTGACTTTGTCTTGGACATCAAGAATAAGCAAGCCGAGTGATGGACCGTTGGGCTTGTCTCGCCCGGCACAAGGTGTTGTTTCCGTCTTAGCTCGGCCGAGCGACTTCTCAGGAGTCGGACTACCTGCCTGGAATCAACCGGAAGAAAAAGAAGTAAAACAGAATGGCACTATTCATGGCGCCGCTGGTCACTGCCCGCAACGGATGTTGCTTATTCTGGGTTCTTGCTTCTATTGCTGGCTCTTGAGACTTGCGGATTGCGCTCAGCCCGCGTCAGGATCACACAAGGCTTCTAAGAAAAGCGCTGTCACTGCGTCAGGGCAAACAACGAACAGCTTCCAATCGACACCCTGCCGATCCGTCGTTGCTGGCGTGATGAATAGCTGGCGGTTGGTTGTTTGCACAATTATCCATTCACAAAGCGCACCAAGGCAAGGCGCAAGGTAACGTGGTCGACTGCCAGCGAACGCAATGCTGTGCTTTTGCGCCTTAATTTCCCGCGAAGATCCAGACCCCTGCCTGCATATTGAGCCTGCATACGAATGGTCGTGTGTACAAACCACCACCGCTGAAATTTGGCGGGTAAAAATGTTCATTGTACTTGGTGCCTCTAGCAGGATGGTGGGCTTGCAGCATGGCCAGCAGGGTTAAAACAGAGCAGCCTTGGACACGGGTACCTTGCAGCTACCTCTGTGATACCTCATCGGCCGAGTGACGATGGCCTCCGTTGCGACAATTCGGTTGGCTTTTACAGACTCTCAGCAGCAGACCAGGCCCGACTTGCGACTCGCACCGCAGCAAGCATCTCATCTCTTTTTTCCCTCCTGTGTCACTGTCCCGTCCCAGCCGTACCTGCCGTCTCTTCTTACATGCTCCTTCCCCGGGATACATCTGGAAAGAACTGGCAGGAAAGGACAGGGAAGGTAGGGCCGAGCACCTCCACCTCTTGCCCTCTCACAGGCTCACGGACCACAGCTAACGTCCTTTCCTTCCTCCATCTCTTTCGTGGGCCGGGCTTGGCTTTCATTTTGGGTGTGAGCGCCTTCCCTGTCGGCGCCTGCATCGTCGTCGCCCCTGCCAGTCACCTCACAGGCTCACAGTCCACGGGGATGAGGCCCTGCCGCCTGGGAGGATCCTGGACCTCCAGACGTCTCCCAGACTCCCAGGTTGCCAGGCCCCCGGGTAAAGGTACGGAGTACTTCGTTGATGCTGCTCATTTTCACCCGACGCTTGCATCCGTAACCCTCGCCTGATCCGCCTGCCCCCGTCGCTTGCCTCCCCACATCCAAAACCCACGTCTTTTCCCACTTCTCGCGAGTCTGGGTCCTCTCTCCAGCATCCTCTTATTCAAACCACTCCCCCCCGATCCATAACCCACAGACTTCGTTGGCAAAGTCTCCTACTGCTTCACCCTTCTTTCGCTTCACGCACAGTCGTTGAAACAAACATCACCAAACCTGAATTACTCGAAGTATTCGGACTAACACTCATTCCTATTTACATCCGCGGACAGACGCCCTCTTGTCGCAAACCAACAACAAGCGCTCCCCGCCAAAAAACCACTCACTACCTTGGCTTAGACACAACAGTAAACACGCCAACACATATATACATCTGGCTGTCCCATCTCACGCTTAGCAACAAGGCAAGCAGCACGACTTACATAACGATCTTTGAAAGACCCAACACCAAGCATACGCATCATAGTGTGGAACGGATTACTTCCGACGCACATCCATATTCGATTCGGTCTATACTTCGTCAGGCTTCGACAGTTGACCAGTACAATCACCAAAAACACCCACTTACAGACACAATGAAGGTCACCACGATTCTTGCTGCTTTCTTGCCCGTCTTGGCGCTCGCCCAGACCTCAAGCGGTGATACGACGACGGTTACTTCCACGGCTACCCAGACCAAGACCATTACTCTCGAGCGCGCGCACACCACCACCATGACCTACGGCACCGGCAACAGCACCGCGACGTTCAAGCCCACCGGCTCCGTTGTTGCCTCTGCAACTGCCGCGGCTACCGCTGCAACTACCTCGAAATCCAGTGCGGGCGCCGCTCTCAACGCCGGTAACCTGGCTTTCGCTGGTGTTGCTGGTATGGTCGCTGCTATCATGTTCTAAAGCGGCATAACTGGATGCGCAAGACGAAGGTGTGAGGAAATGGACGACGGGTTAAAAGTTGCGATGTGGTTGGAGGAATGTTGCCAACTGCATCTGAATGCCATACCGAACTCTTCGATGCGACATCTTTTCAGCCTTCTCTTTTGTCATCGCCTCCAACCCTGGTTCGGCGCAACATCGCTACCGATGTGAGTGCGGCCTATTCTTACGAACTTCACGACCTTGAGATTGGGAAACCACTTGAGTTGACGGCACACACTATACCCTATTCCTCTTCGACACCAACCATGTGCGACGCTTGCATCGCCATCCTGCAGGAAAGGAACCGACACGCTAGTCAACTGGGGCTTCTTGACAGCGATCAACCTTTTTTCACTCTGACTTCAAACGACACTGACTGTCCGCCGCCTTTCTTTTATGGGTGGCGGACGGCTTGCCACCTCATGTTTTAATGTTTCGATTCTTCCCCAGCAGCACAAGGGTCGCATGGAATGCGTAGTCGATCTGCCCTTCATGCACGTCGTTGGCCATGATCACCCAGGGCCTTCTTCAACACATTCAACTGTCTGGTTCTCTAGACTGGCGAGTCGTGTTGGGGATGGCATCGAGTCAATCCACGCCTGATGGTTTTCAGGCTGTCGTTGGCTCGAGTTCCTGGCCAGGCACTGATGTTGCTGCAGGTGTGCTTGCTGGCTGGAAATGATATTTACGAGATCTTTCGCAACGTCTTTTCTCAAGGGAGGATTTAAGACGGAAATGATCAGGATGGATGATTTAGGGATTTACCGGAGTTCTCGTGATGGAACAAAAGTTTCACTCTTCTTCGAGTTGTTGATACCCCTATTGCTGTATGGTTGCCGGCCGGGGTTGGACAGATCAAGCTGCACTTCCGAGGTTGCTCTTTTCGAAGGTTTAACCTTGGCTTTCGCTTGCTTGGGTTGTCTGACATTGCCCAGTCGGTAGGAGGACGCGATGGATTTGCTTTGATATTTTCGGATTGACGACCGTTTTGATTGAATGATGGCATGGTCCGAGACGACTTTGCCTTGCGAGGGGGGCTTGGAGGCCATTGAAAGGAGTTTTAAGGACTTGAGAAGAAGCATTTACTGGTAGCATAGTTGAACGAATTCACTGACATGAGCTTATGGCTCTGTTCCATCAAACCCTTGCATGCTCCTACCACGACAAGTGACAGGGACATGAGGACTTGGCTCATGATTCCACGCAGCATTGGCAATCCTGACCTCTTGATTGGAAAGATCCGGGAAGCGAGCAAGACAACGACCCCTCGGCCCTTGAAAAACGAAACCGTTGGGACGGAAAGCCCCGGTACGCCGACATTTCGAGAAGCCTTCTTAATAAGCATTGCCGCTGTCAGACAGCCGGCCGGTTTTGATTGGTCGAGGTGCAATCACCGCCCCCCGATATGCCGATTCAATCCGGGGACCGGGGGGTGTAGCCAGCTGCAGGGCCTAATTTCTAGTGGTCATTTTTTCTTGGGACCTGTTTTTTTGCCCCATCACAGCTGTTGTCTGCATCAACCTCTCAACCAAGCTCTCTCGCCCGCAACATCGTCGGCTGTTGCAATCACACGGGCAACTTCGAGTGGGAACCAAAGGAAACACAAACGACAGTTAATTGCAATGCCATCGCCCATAGCACCTCTTGCCCGCGTGCAGGCTCCTCTGCGGCGGGCTCTCGCCTCGTCGGCTCGCTCCCGAGCCTTCGCCACCGTTCCTCCCACCTTCGGCACAACATCCGAAGCAGCATCGCAACCCCCGAAAGCCCGCAGACCGACCTACTTCAAGGACAAGAGCCTCGCGTCGCTGGACGACTTCATCGCGAGCAAGGGCGACCCCGCGGCCCTCTCCGAGGCCGAGGCCTACGAGATTCGCACCGTCGAGGTTACGGGCCCGACGGGCAAGAAGAAGACCATCACCCGCCTCCCGGAGTGGCTCAAGACCCCCATCCCCGCCGGCAACGAGAACTACAAGTCCATCAAGAAGGATCTGCGCGGTCTGGGGTTGCACACGGTATGCGAGGAGGCCAAGTGCCCCAACATCTCCGAGTGCTGGGGCGGCTCCTCCAAGAGCGCAGCGACGGCGACCATCATGCTCATGGGCGACACGTGTACGCGCGGATGCCGTTTCTGCAGTGTAAAGACCAACCGCGCGCCGGCGCCGTTGGACCCCCATGAGCCGGAGCACACGGCCGAGGCGCTGGCTAGGTGGGGTTTGGGATACGTTGTTCTGACGTCTGTTGACCGCGATGACCTGGCGGACGGCGGCGCGCGGCATTTTGCTGAGACAATCAGCAAGATCAAGGCCAAGAAGCCGAGTCTGCTGGTCGAGGCGCTGACCGGCGACTTTATGGGCGACTTGGACATGGTGAAGATTGTGGCGGAGAGCGGTTTGGATGTATATGCGCACAATGTTGAGACGGTGGAGGCGCTGACGCCGTATGTGCGTGATCGGAGGGCCACGTTTGCGCAGAGTATCAAGGTGCTTGCGCGGGTCAAGGAGGTGAAGCCGGAGATGATTACCAAGACGAGTCTGATGCTTGGCTTGGGAGAGCAGGAGGAGGAGATTATGGATGCTTTGAGGCGTACGTTTGTCCCTATCATTCTCTGGCTTACAGTCAGGAAACCGCGTGAATTGAAGTCAAGGCCGGAAAGAAATGCTAACATTTGGGGAAACACAGAACTTCGCAAAGCCAACGTCGACGTCGTCACCTTCGGCCAGTACATGCGCCCGACGAAGCGCCACCTCAAGGTCGAGAAATACGTCACCCCCGACGAGTTCGAAATGTGGAAGCAGCGCGCGCTGGATATGGGATTCCTGTACTGTGCCAGTGGTCCCCTGGTGCGGAGCAGTTACAAGGCCGGCGAGGCGTTTATCGAGAACGTGCTGCGCAAGAGGGCGGGCGAGAAGGCTGGCATGGCCGCGAGCGGTAGGCTGGGCCAGACTGTTGCTCTGGAGGAGGGGTTCAAGACGCTTTAGACCGGATTGTTGCTGTACGTTTGCAGCGAGAATTGAGGATGTACGATCTGTGAGGATGGTGATGAAATAGACTAGGGGATGAGATGGATAATTGTCAAAGGGGGGTTAGATGGCATGGCTGGCGTTAATATTTTTGGGCTGGACGACGGGAACTTCATTCATCATGGGCATCGCCATCTTCTACCCCCGGGTGGCACACTTTCGACATACAACCTAGGTGCATAGTAGACCTAGAAGAATATACGGCTGCCGGGTGGTCTTCAACAATGGCCACTAAGAGCTATGAATTTACATCCGGGTCTCATGTTACTCCGTGCGTGCCATTTTCAAAGGGGTATGATGACCCAACTCGGGCACGGTGGATCTGGAGCTATCTACTCGTATGATTTCAACCTTACTTCCTCCTCCTTTCACTTCTCTACCAATTCGAATGGGTGGTCTCAGGCGTTTTTGTACCACGATCATAACTCGGCCGATTGATGAATCGTCGGAATCCTCAGGGGTAAGACCTCGAACCACCTAGTCGCCTCGTTGTGCCTGGTCCTGGCAATCGCATACCGATCAACGGACCCTCTGTCTGAGCCAAGATCGGATTCAGGAGGCAGGAATCGAAAAAGTTCAGAGACGTCGGATTTCCGCATCTTCAGCTCGAAGAAGGGAGAAGATGGCGTGGTCTTGAGAGGAGGCCCTAATTTCCTGGCGTTCCTGATGCGTGTTCCGCGTTCAAAAAACTCACCGGATAGGGCTGTTATCGATTTCTTGAATCGGGTTTTAGTGCGTGTGAATGGAGAGACACCTTAACGGTCGAGTCTTCAAGAAAGGAGTCCTTTACTTATCAGTCTCTTGGCCTGCACCTCTGATCCCGCGGGCTCCCTTCAAATAACACGGGATCTACTGAGGTATGGGCGCCTGAGAATGAGGGCATACGCGGCTCATGTCTGCTTTGATCTTGGCTTTTTCAGCTGAGCATTTTTACAGGGGAGCTGTTGGCTTTGGGGATAAGCGATGCTACCCTCATGCATCAATGGACGAGCGATAGATGTACCAACCCAATGGCCAAGGGGACGGCCGAGAATCTGGTAGCCGCAAAGCGAGAGAAAAGCTGGCCTGGACCACCCCGGCCAACACCAATGCACCGTCCCATCACTTTTCTTTCCAGGCCGGGGGAAAGCTTGGTCCTGTTCCTGTCATCTTTCCCGAGAAGTTTCTTCTCCATTCATCCCCGGCGACATCTAGCAAAAGCGATTATCGAAAGTTGAAACAAACGAGACCATAAGTGTCCTTGGTCAATAATTAGCATCACCGAACATCGCGTTAGAGCAAAGGCTCCCGTTGGAAGTAAACGCCAACGGCCAACATTCTGCCTCCCCTCGTTCCATGCGATGAGTGGAATTCCACTTCATCCACTGGCTCCCTTCAGACCAAGACACCCTGGACGTCCCTTCCAGGTTGGTTTCTCACCGCGAAATGCCTCTCTCTCCTTAGGCCAGGCTCTCATGCATACCCTCCCACCTCTCTTCGCTCACTCACCCACACGACATCATCCATAGATCACCAGCACCAAAGCAGATCAGCAGCTGCATATGCATCCTGCAATAATGATGCGCGTTCATGGTCCCGGAGGCGTCCCTCATTTCCCCCTCATTCATCATTTCCCGCCCCGACCTATCCCACACAGGCCTAGCACACCCTCTAAAGGCTCCAATGCACTCCACCTCCCCCCTCGTGGGTTGCCCGTGAAGTACCCGTAGGCTGGATTCACACTAAAACAACTGAGTAAGAAGCTTGCTTTCTTTGTCAAAGCCTGGTGTACCTGAACGGCGTGGACAGCCAGCCACAAGACGCCTTTCGGACGCCTAGCGGATGACTGCCTCGTCAGCGCGTTGGGCCGCGAAGTAAATATTGGAAGCTTTGCGTCTGTTAGATTGAATCTTGTCGAAGGTGAGATGTGCAGCAGTTCACCCGGTCATTGTAGAGGCAAACAATGCTTTCTAGGCCGGCATGATTACGTCTACGCATCTGGTGGTCGTTTCTTTCCTGCATGACATAGCATCTACAGTCATCCTGCCCGTCTGTCCTATGTTGGGAAGCGAATTGAGTAAGACGCGCGCGGGGAATGAGTGAGGGAGTAAAGCAGGACTAAAAGCTACGGGAAGCTAAGTAAATGAGACACACTGCTTTTGATTTTCTGCCCACGTTCATCCCCCCAGTCTATCCCTTTTTAGAACCTTTTTTATGATAATTTCTTGTTCTATCAAGAAACGAACGGCAAAACGTCCCGCAAAAGCGCGGTTCTTGGTTCCTGAGAGGCTGAGTAGCGTTGAACCCGTCGTTCCACGGCTCCCACAGCTCTCTCGACCTCGTCTCCTCCACTTCAGCCCAACTCTAATAAAGTATCCCAGGCTTGTCGCCCTTCAACCCTTGTCGCTCCGTCAACTTTGTTTCTTTTTTCCCTACGCCTATTTGTACTCATCTTCCACTTACTCGGGACGTCCGGGCCTGAGAGTGTGAGTAGTAATCTACCCGATCTCAAGGTTCGTCCCACTGCTGGGGGTCCCTGAATGTCTATAGCTTTCTGATCCGTTGCCCTTATTGCTGATTCTGCTGAGAATCGCGCCACTCCTTTTTCTATTACTTGATTGACTTTCCTGCTCACGCCTCTCTTTCTCCTATCTCTTTTGATCTTCACCTTGCTGGCTTATTGATCAGGAGGGGAAGTGACCACGTTCATTACACAAATCTCTCCGTCGAGTTCCGAACTCATCCACTCATTGAAATCCCACCAGCGCAGTCTACCTCGCTCTCACTTCCACGACACTCATTCGGATTCCTCGTAATCATAGTATCTTCACCTTACTCGAAAAGCAAATCAACAAGAAACCCGTCAAAATGCGCGTCACAGCCGCCTTCTGGCTCGCGGCCGCGACCCTCGCCAAAGCGGCCTACTGGATGGAAGACATTGCCCACCAGGGCATCTCCCCCTACCACCCGGACCCGAACTACAAAGTCTTCCGTAACGTAAAGGACTTTGGCGCAAAGGGCGATGGCGTGACGGACGATACTGCGGCGATCAATCTCGCCATCAGCTCCGGTGAGCGGTGCGCGCCGGGCAAGTGCAAGGGCGAGACGACGTCCCCTGCTACCGTCTACTTCCCTCCCGGGTGAGTCTTTGGGAATTGCAATTCAATTGAATGAGAGAAGAACGAAGAAGGATGAACTAGCTGACGATTTGCTGTAGAACTTATCTCATTTCGGGTTCTATCATTGACTACTTTTACACGCAAATCATTGGTGATCCGACCGATCGCCCGGTGATCAAGGCCGTGGCCGACTTCCCCACCAACACCACCCTCGGCCTCCTCGATGGCAACCCGGTATGTGATTAAACTTTCGAAATGATATGATTGGTATTCATGGATTCAAAGTCTTTCATCAATTATGCCAATTGCATTAGTTGTGTTGTGCGTGGAGCAATTGACTAACACACCCACCACAGTATGGCGCGAATGGCCTCAGCTGGGGAGCCACCAACGTCTTCTTCAGACAAGTGCGCAACCTCGTTTTTGACACCACAGCCATTCCTGCCTCTGCTGCTGCTTTTGGAATTCATTGGCCTTCGTCGCAAGCTACTGCTATCACGAACTGCGAGTTCCGCCTTGCTGAGGGCTCGTCGAGCAAGCATGTCGGCATCTTCATCGAGGAGGGTTCAGGCGGCCTTCTCAACGATCTTGACTTCTACGGAGGTCAATACGGCGTCAATTTTGGCAACCAGCAATATACTGCTCGTAATGTATGAACGGCCATTTAATAGTTGTGGGAAAGTGAACATTGGTTGCTGACTTGTCATGTGTGAATAGCTTCGTTTCTGGAACGCTCAGGTCGCCATCAACCAACTTTGGGACTGGGGCTGGACGTACAAGAACATCTACGTTGAGAACTGCGGCATCGGCATCCGTATGCAGGACAACAGCACTTCTTCAATCACTCTTTTGGACTCTGAGTTCGTCAACACCCAAACAGCGATTCGCACTAGCCGTGAGCCCGGCGTTACGGTACCGGTCACGGCCGGCACTCTCGTAATGGAGAATGTCGCCTTCTCCCAGGTCCAGACTATCCTTCTCGGACCCAAGAACAACACCATCATCGCCGGAACCTCGAGCGCCACCGTCTCCCAGGGCTTCGCCATGGGTCACATCTACACACCCACCGGCCCAACCGACTACACCGGCTCTGACGCGGGCTACTTCCCCGTCTACCCAGCCCTGCTCGGAACCTCCGCCAACGGCACGACAAAGTACTACGAGCGCTCCAAGCCGCACTACGAAGATGTCCCCTCAAGCCTCGTTATCTCGGCCCGCTCCTTCGGTGCTCGCGGTGACGGTGTGACGGACGACACGGTGGCCCTCAACAACCTCTTCAACTACGTCGCCTCGAACCCTGCCGCTGGCCTCCTCGCCTTCGTCGACGCGGGAACTTACTACGTCTCTGACACCGTCTTCATCCCTCCCGGAGCTCGCATTGTGGGCGAGGCCCTAGCCTCCATCATCATGGGCGGCGGTGAGAAGTTCCAGGATATCGAGAAGCCTCACCCCGTGGTCAAGGTCGCTATCCCGGGCCAGTGCGGAACGATCGAGTGGTCTGATATGATTGTGTCGACTCGCGGATCTGCCCCGGGTGCCAAGGTCATTGAGTACAACCTCAACACCGTTGGTGAGCCCTCTGGTATGTGGGATGTGCATATTCGTGTCGGAGGATTCGCTGGTACGCAGCAACAGCTGAAGGAGTGTCCTACCACTCCTAACGCTACTGTCACCGCGGATACTATTGACAAGAACTGCATTGCGGCATGGATGAGTATGCACATCACCAAGCCTGCTTCGTGAGTTACCCCTGATTGTGGATCTTCTTCTGTGAACAATGCGGGCTGACAATCTTAAAGTGGACTTCTCCAAGAGAACTGCTGGATCTGGACTGCCGATCACGACCTCGAGGACCCCGACTACAAGCAGGTTACCATCTACAACGGTCGTGGTTTGCTTATCGAGTCGACCGCCGGCAAGATCTGGCTGTCCGCCTCTGGAGTTGAGCACCATACCCTCTACCAATACATGCTCTTCAAGACCAGAGATGTGTACATGGGCCAGATTCAGTCCGAGACCCCTTACGTACGTATTCCCTCTCATGAAAACCAACTCTTTTACATGAAGCTGACCTTGACGATTAGTACCAACCCAACCCGCCAGCCACGATCCCCTTCCCTCGCGTCAAGGGCTACCACGACCCAGACTTCGAGACGGAATGCAAGGACGCCGACCCCAACGGCCCGCCCTGCAAGATGGCCTGGGGTCTCCGCGTCATCGGCAGCCAGAACGTCGTCGCGTTCGGGGCGGGACACTACTCCTTCTTCAACAACTACAGCACGGCGTGCTGCCAGATTGGCGCCGGAGCCAGGTGCCAGCAGCGCATCGTCGATGTGCGCGATGCGCCGGGTAACTGCACCGCGACTGATAACTTTGACATCTACAACCTGCAGATTGTGGGCACGACGGCCATGGTTACGCGGTATGGAAAGGACATTGCGTTCTACAAGGATAATATTGCTGGGTTCACGGCTGGTATTGCCTTGTATCAGCACTGAGATGTTTACTTCTTGGCTGTATAAGTAATGATATTCTTAATTCTTTTTTGTCATCGCCATATCGAGACCAATCTTTCGTTGGCGTGAGTGATGCCGCTCAGAGACTGTCTGTCGGAGAGTGATGAGGCTGGACTGATGATATCAGACGTCAGCATGGGTTTCGTTCACTTCTTGAATAGATTCGCCATCCCCTCGTGATGCTAGCCAATCCTGAGATGCCACATGCGCGACCCCTGTCACTTTCATTTTACACTGCACTGCATTTGTAACCACCCTAGGGGCCGCGAGAGAGTGCGAGTTTTGCCATTATCTCTAGTAGGATCGACTGGGGGATTCGCACTGGGCGAATTACTTGTCCCCTCTGCAGGCGTTGAAAACGCAGTGAAGATTGGGAAATTGGATAAGTAGTGACGACCGCCGCTCCTTTTTCTTGCGATAGTAGTAGGAGATGCCATGGAAGAGACTCTTTCAGTGAATAGCACTGACAATTGCTTTGGTCAATTTACAATATCATTGGTATACTTATGTCGCATCGAAACAAGCAATGAGTCAATTTCCTATGAACTTGAATGTCATCCAACTTGCTGGATCCTCCTTCATGTATTTGGCATATCGAATGATGGCGCATAACGGGTCTCTCTGATATGGACAGTATTCTCACAATATTGCAACAGCCTGCACGATGAGATTTCATCAACGAAAGAGTCAGTCCATAGAATCAAACTTTTATTATGGGTATCATGTCTCCGTCAAGATGCCGGTCCAACACAGCGTCCCTGAACATCACAGAACGTATCAGACCTCATACCATAACCTTCTCATGCTCGTCAACGCAACCCACAGAGCCTCGTCTGTCCTGATGTTACGGCTGCCCTGGCCAGGCAGGATGTTGACCCAGTGGTCAAACAGCTCCTTGGCCTTTGAAGGACCCATATCCATACCCTCGAGCTCCTTGTCGTTCAACGCCGCATACTCGATACCTCTGGGTCCACCAAACGCAATGAGAAGATGCTTGAATTCTAGGGGCTCGGCGCTGGGGAAGGCCTCTGAGAGTGTGCGTCCGCGCTCCGATGTACCAATACTGACGTCGTAGCCACCCTCGAACTTGCACTCTGTGAACACCGCCGTCAGCGAGTTGGCGCGACGGACTTGATATCCCCAGTAGAAGCCGCCCTCCTCCCTCGGAGCCGACGGGTCGCACGCCTCGGCCTTTTGCGATCTCTGGTCCGGGTGGTACAGCGTCACGCGGGTATTGGGGGGGACCTCGTCCTCGATCAGGACCTGGTCCTTAAGACCGACATCGATCATGGTGCCCCGGGGCGTTCCCTTGCCGGCGACGCCCTCGCGGTAGGGAAGCCATTCGGCCGGGTTCGGGTGGTGCGGCATCTCGAGCGAGGGCAGCTGGCTGGCGAGGCGCAGGTTCGGGTGGAGGGGGAAGAGCATCTTGCGCATGAAGGGTGGGACTTCGAGGTAGCCGAGGAGGTGCTCGAGGAAGTGGCAGGGGTCGATGTCGCCGGTGTAGGCTTTTGTGTCGACGCTCTTGGGGCGGGATTCGGTCGGGCTGTCGTCGAAGATTACGATCTCATCGACGGAGAAGACGGCGAGAGCGCGGGCGATGAGACCGGCTACGGAATTGCGGCGCTCAGCTGTAAGAGCACTGGAGACGGCTTAATATCTGTACCAAAGACATTGGGCATGATTTGCGGTCATACTCTGAGAGAATACTGCTGGGAATTGCAACGGAGACTGTCCACTTGCGGCCGCTACCGCTTTCTGAAGGGTCGACATAGCTGCCCTCGTCAGTCTTTCTCCTCTGCAGCAAATTAGCGAATGTCTGGGAAAATTTTCCGAATATGGGATTACCTTTGCTCCTTGATCGTAGGCCATTTTGAAGGGGATTGGAGCGCAAGTAATTCTGGTAGCTCTGGAAATGTCGTCTTGAAGAAGAATTCGGGACAATGTTCGCAGCGTCCCTAAAAAGTTTCTGGGTGATGGTCCCGCTATCGATAATCCTGGGGTAAATCCGGCAGAACTGCGGAGTCAAGTCTGGCCGCCTTCCTATTCAGGTACCCGCCACCTTTCCGCTGGGACCAGGCCGCGAGCTATCCGTCAGCTACGCCGCGGACGACTCCCAAGGGTTCAGTTCTGTCCCCTTTCAACTTCGTGACACTTGCGCCAACGTATGAATCGCCCTCGTTACTTTGTGCCAAGTCATTGAAGCCATGAGTCTTATCAACATCCAGTCCGCCGGCCAATGGCAAGGCATTCTAAGCGGTAACAATGTCGTTATCGCAGACTGTAAGTGGCCTTCTCAGCAGCCGTCCCCCCGCGCATCCGTGAGATCGCTGACCAACACCATGACAGTCTACGCCGACTGGTGCGGCCCTTGCAAGCAGATCGCACCCCACGTCGAACGTCTCGCGAAAGAACACTCCAAGCCGAATAAGGTCGCCTTCTGCAAGATCAATGTCGACAGCCAGTCCACCATCGCCCGCACTCACGGCGTCAGCGCCATGCCCACCTTCATCATCTTCCACGGCGGCCAGGCGATCGAGACCATCAAGGGCGCGAATCCGCCCGCCCTCACACAGGCCATTCAAAACGCGCTGAAGCTCCCTGACAAGGGCGGCCGCTCCGCAGCCTCGTTCAAGACCCCCGGCCGGACGCTCGGCGGGGATAAGCCCGCGCGGGCTAGTCTCCAGCGGCCGTTTGCTTGGCACTACCGCGATATTCTGAGCAACATCATTACGTTTATTGGATTGTATCTGGTGTCTCTGTTTGCGGTACGTTGGTTCACGGTCGATCCGAAGGGGAGCAAGAAGAACCGCCTGCTGACGGACTGGTAGATTGATCCCCACAAGGCGGCCGAGATGTCGCAATTTAACCGCGTGAACCCGCCCCCACCGACGGTCAAATCCACAAAGAGCGCTGGCCCCGGCACGAGACAGCCGCCGAGGGGGCCAGCTTTCAAGACCCTGGCTGATTTGGGCGGCGATGAATGATATGATCGATTACAGGCGAAAGGCGTTTTGGGCTATTTATCTGAGAGTACATAGAAGCCCCACTGGGCTCCAAGAGCACCCTTCCATTGATTATTATACACGACAAGTTCCATGATCCGTCGCAAGCGATTAGTAGCCTGCTAACTTGCCTCTACCAAGCTATCGCGGCCTAGCATCGATAGAGTACATACCTCGTTTTCAGCCAATTCGCATCGTTAGAATGGAGGAACTCTTCGCGACTGTTCATGCTCCGGATGAAATGGCAATCGGGGCGCAAGCCAGACAGTATGGGGCTGAGTACCCATATTGAACATGCTGCATTCTGCAGGCGCTTGCCTGGGGCCGCAGCTGCCTTCGGTCAACGTGAGGCTGGCGAATAGAATCTCTGTTGACGGGGCTTGTCCTGCTTATCCGCCCCTCTTCCACTGACTGCCTGGTCTAGCGGCTTATTACTTCTCTAAACCTGGTTCCCATATCATTTCTACTTCACCGTTTCTGCCCTTGTTTTCTTCCCATGCACTTATTATTACGTTCTCTCATTTTTTGAATCAGATTTCCTCTGTCTCGGCTCTTGCTCTTGGTGAGAGCCCCGAGAGCATCCTCCTGAACTTAGGATAGTTGACTTCAAAGCTATTCCAACCGGCTCCCTCGCCTCACATGCATCTCATCAACGTTCATACCCGGTTACTGGAGGAATTCCATGCCGACAAACCGAAGTATGCCATCTTATCACATACTTGGGGGCCAGACAAAGAGGAGATATCTTTCCGCGAAATCAAGCAAGGCGACACAGACAAGCCAGGAATCGGAACGATCAAGCTTGAAGGTTGCCTGCGACAAGCCAAAACCGATGGACTCGACTATGTCTGGATTGATACCTGCTGTATCGACAAGACCAATGCCAACGAGTTGGGCGAGGCGATCAATTCCATGTTCCGCTGGTACCAGGAAGCAAAGACATGTTATACGTTCCTCCAAGATGTACCCTCGAAGGACAATCCCAAGTGGAAATCCAAGTTTCGAAAAAGTCGTTGGTTCACGAGAGGATGGACCTTACAAGAGCTCCTAGCCCCGAGCGAGCTCATGTTTTACAGTAGCGACTGGCAAGCTTTGGGTACAAAGCTGCAACTGTCCGAAGTCGTAGGAGACATAACAGGTATCCCGGCACGGTTTTTACTGGGTGCTTCCAACCTACGCGAAGCAAGTGTGGCACAACGCATGTCTTGGGCTTCGAATCGAGAGACCAAGAGGGTAGAAGACATTGCGTATTCGCTTCTGGGTATTTTCAACGTTGTCATGTCGCTGATATATGGAGAAGGCGATGGTGCTTTCATCCGGCTTCAAGATACGATAATCAATGCCACCACAGACGACTCAATCTTGGCATGGGGCTTGAGGCCACAAATCACTGTGGCAGATTCTAGAAATCGCCCAAGGGATTTTGTTGGGGGCATTCTAGCCTCTTCTCCCGCAGCATTTGCAGGCTGTGGGAAGGTTGCATCCAGGGAAAACCGCACTCCGACGATAGAGGGGAATATTTTACGCGGCTACCTGAAACTGCGAATACCACTTCACTCTGATCGTTCCGGGGTCACATATGGCCTTCTCAGCTGTCGATACGACAACGATGGCAGGGAAAAAGTAATAGGGATTCCTCTTTCCCGCATTGCGCCGGGAGAGTCAGGTGGCGAGTACGTCAGACCAAAGAACAGCAAGACAACAATGTTGCCAGACGTGGCGTGTGATACACCAGCATCATCCATACATGCTTTAGCGTCGATTAGTCCCGAAGAAACTCGTGTGAAGGACTGTCGCTATGGATTCTCAGTCGAAAACATATTCACCGAAGGCCTCGAGTTGATCGATGTCTGGCCGACTGAATGTTGGGACAAGGATAATGCTTTCCTCTATACCGGCATGGACTTCCACAACGAATCGACTCAGCGAACATGGGCCAGAGTTCGACCTGCTCATTCTGAAAATGATTCAAACGACTTTGTACTTGCGCTAGAGCTCACATCGACGAAGACTCATTCAGCTGCAAAGTGTCACGCCATGATCGCATCAAGAAAGACGACCCTGAAAAAGATTGCATATGCTCCGCTCGTGGAAGAATACACCTTTGGGAACGGAAGCGCCTACAACGGGATCATGAGTGTTCAAGCTAAAGTCTTTAGACAGCGACATGGGGCAGGCGTACATCCGGTTTATGCCGTGACTGTGGTTCCACAGAGCAGCCAGCCCAAGTCCACTGTTAATTTGACGTCTGAGATTGAGCTTCTCGATCACAGCGTAAACGTGCAGAGCATCTTCCGGGAAAGTCAAGATATAACGCCAAAGCTTAACAAGTCGATTAGTTCTATAGAGGCCGAGACAACAGCTCTTGACTCCGCAAAAGCACGACTCAGGGATGTACAGCGGCAGCTCGAGCAGCTAGAGGCAGAGAAGAGAGATCTCGTGCAAAAAAAGGAAAAATCCGAAAAAAGGCTAGAGTCGTCTTCCCGAGACAAGGAAAAGTACGCCTCAATGGAGAAGAAACTTCTTCAGACGCTTTCCACGGCGCAAAGAATGCACTCGGCCAGCGGAGAAAAGAGGGCGTCGCAATGGAAAGACTCTGTTGTGACCTATCTGTCCGAAGATCTTTTCAAAGCCAAGAAAAAGCAAAACGAAGCAATCCAGTCCATGGAGGACGTACTGCAGAGGACGTTTCTACAAGCAGTCGTTAAAGGAAACATAGCCGCGATGCAGTTTCTCAAAGATTCTCTTCCAAGCCTCGACTTCAATGATTCTAAAGGACGCGGTGTTCTAGCGTGGGCGATTATCAAAAAGAACCTGTCGGTTGTGACTTGGCTGATAGAAAATGGCGCCAGCGTCAACGCAAAGGATGGCTATAAGAGGACACCTTTAAATCGGGCTTGTTCGGAGAACTTCTTACCAGCTGTCCGGCTGTTACTTCACCGGGGTGCGCATACCGAAGACAAGGACCAGGATGGTCGGAGGCCTTTACATGTTGCCATTCGCAAAGACAATATTTTGCTCACGCAGTGGCTGTTGGATCGAGGAGCAGATATCGAAGCCAAGACGGAAACTGACGAAACGCCACTGGAGCTTGCGGTCTCGGCAAAGTCCATTGCATCAATAAACCTGCTCCTCGATCGAGGCGCAGATCTCGAAGCACCGGGTTCGTATGGGGCGACTGCTCTGTGTAAAGCTGCCAAGTACGACGATAGCCATGACAGTGCTGTCCTGCGTGTCTTGATTGATCGTGGAGCCAATATCAAAGCACGCAGCAAAGATAAGAAATGGACACCCTTGCATTATGCAGCAGCATATGGGTGTACTGAGGCTGTGGAGTTGCTCCTCAGAGAAGGAGCAGACGCCACTGCCAAGAGCTCGTCAAGTGTTACTCCGTTAATGAGTGCAGCCGAAAACAGAAGGAACTCTGGGCCTCTCCGCTCGTTGATAGATCACGGCTCGAGTAACGGAGTGATTGAGAGCATAGGGGAAGAATTGCTAGCCTCAGCGGCACGGTATGGATGTGCCGAGTCTGTCAAGTTGCTGCTCAATCGGGGGGTTTCTATCGAGTCTAAAGACGAAGATGGATGCACACCTCTAGCAAACGCGGCTGAGGAGGGCAACAAGAAGACGGCCGAAGTACTGATTAAACAAAAAGCCAAAGTAGACTGCAAGGACGCGAACGGACTGACTGCCCTCTCTTTAGCGGCGCAGGCTGGGCACGTAAGCCTGGTCAAGTTGCTTGTAGAGGGTGGTGCTAGGATTGATCGGAAAGACGAGACGGATGGCCGCACTGCACTACATTGGGCCGTTCTAAAAGACCGAAAGGCTGTCATTGAGGAGCTCCTGGAGAGAGGGGCCAACATCGAGGCGAGTTCAAAGACTGGACACACTGCAATTTACTACGCCATCCGCAACGGCTTCGAGGCGTCTTTCAAGCTTCTCCTTGAGAAAGGCGCAAGTCTCACCGTGGAAGGCCCCCATGGGAAGACCCCCCTGGCGTATGCCCGGGATGTGGCTCAGAAGCATAAGAAGATTGGGAGTTCACCGGCAATGAAGGAAATCATCAAGTGTCTAGAGAAGCAAACCTCGGAAAAGGACAAAGCCAGAATTGTAGAGGCATGATTTAATATTAGTGAGAATAGATTATACAAATGAAAGATAGGCTCTTTACAATTACTTGAATCTCGTTCACAACCACATGTCCATACAGCATCGAAGGTGGCCAGTGGACAATCGCCCTCGTGAGCTCTATTGACCTCGACCTAGACACACTGTAAATATGTTAAAACATTTCTACGGAAATTATAGAACATCTCATTTCAATGGCTTTCAGCGAATCATGCAGGTTTATTCGTCAGGTCATTTTAGAGTGAGCTTTTGTAGCAAGATGCTACCAAAACCCCACAGCTTAGTGCCTTGTAAAAGGAGTTGGGAACTTGAAGGCAGTCCATTCAGAATGATGCGTGGAAATACCCAAAGTACCTGATAGATGAAGACGGAACTTACAAGTAAAGCGCAATTGCATAAACTTGAATACGGAGTAAAAGATGAGTCCTTAAGCTCTTCAGCCAATACATGTTACTCGTCATGCGTCTGTCACTTTGTTTCTGGATTTGTTGTAGCTTGAGATCTTGAATACCTGAAGTTGAATCCATGTCATGCTTGGTAGAACAGCATTGTTGTCGAAGCCAATCGGGAGCGTCTCATTTCCAACAAGTGGGGCGCCGATCTTTGAGCTACCCAAATTTCAATGCTCCATGCGACAGCTCCTAAAAGTTCACGGGCGACTTTTCTCCTTGACAACTTTGCGTTGCCACCAATCCACACCCAAAAGGCAATCATGTTGACAGCAGGTGGTCTCCGAAATGCCTGTCCCAGCTGTCGAGCTCGGTTATTGAGCTTGGCCGGAAATACACTAGCTGGTTCATCCCCCGCAGGCCGACAGCTTCGATCAAGCTTCCCACGACAGAGCAGCTTAGCTG